AATATAGAATTTAACGGAGGTAACAATCTTTAGTTTTGTTAAGTTTCACAGGAAAAGTGAATGTTTGTTAAACTATGATGTATAATTACAGGTTAAAATCAATGTCACTGTTATCATCATGGATCCACAGTGGGAATTTACAAACCACACAGAAACTTGAAGCTGTTAAAACTATTGAAACTCTCAAGGCACTTCACACAGTCAGGCCGAGACCTCTCAGAATAATTTGTTCATCTTTACAAGTTGCAACAAGTCATGTAGACATTCAGGCACTTGACTTCATGAATAACCCCTGGCTTCAGAAAGTCTTCAGAAAGTCTTCAGACCTCTTTACTGTAAGATCTCATTGAGGAAAGCATTCAGACTCTTAATCAAACAGAGAAGCAGTATCTGGTGAAGTCTCCAGACTCTGCACGTCTGGATTTGAGCCGTTGATCCAGTTGTTCCTGTCACATCCTCTCCAGCTCTGTCAGACACCTCCAGGCCTCATCACAGATATGAAACATGTTTCACTCAACCTGGACACTCAACAATTCAAGCCTGACGATGGCGTGAAACCGAGGCGATCGTCTTTCCGGGCAGATTCTCCGACCTCCTGACGCTTTGAGACACTGACCGAGGAAACGTCCCCGTGTCTTTAAACTTCCATTTCAACATAACTGTTTCTCCTGGAATCACCGAACACTGGTGCATCATGGTTCTCTCACACTCACACCTTCTTCAACTATATCCAATCAGATCCCTGAGCCAATCAGGTTCTAGAAACACCTCAAGGGTCATTACAGCAAACAGGATTCACCTGATCACAAGAGAGAGAGTCTGAAGACTTCCCCCAGAATATTTAAAAAAGAGTTCAATTCAAAAACACAAGTGAAAAAAACAAGAAGTGACACAAGCATCACATTTTAAAGACTCGTTCAAAATCATATATTAAAAAGGTTGAAGCTCAAAATAAATAAATAAATAAATAAATAGAGGGTAAAACTAGAAAAGTTTATTTTTATTCCACTTCCTCCTTTTTAAGCATGGACTTCCTTATTTGAATTTCTTAAACTAGGATTTGATGTTTTTAACATGTGTGGAATAAATAAATAAATAATAAACAACTATTATGTTTACGAGTTATTTAAAGTGGACTGCATTACAGTTTCAACATCAAGTGTTTATAAAATGGGTGTGACTACTTCCTGGAGCCACTGTGCCTTAATTAAGTATTCAGTAACATATTCTGATGCTAATAGTTGTGTGTGTGTACTAGTAGTAGTAGTAGTGGTAGTAGTAGTATTGTAGTATTTGCTCCACCACAGCTTGCTGGGCTAATGGCTAACACAAGCTAACACCAGGACACCTGTGGTGCTTTAAATAAAATACACACTCACGTGTAAACTGAATTAAAGCAACTTACAGCCTCTGCACTTCCCAGGAGTTAGTCAGATCCAGTGAAGCCACAAATCAAACGACCACAGGGTTAAACCTCAGCTTCGGTGCTGAGCTGGTGCTAGCTAACGTTAGCTGTGCGGCTAATCGGCGTGAACGAGACCGGACAGAGACTGATGCGGTTTTATCTCGATTTTAAACTCGACGATCGAACCGAACGCAGAAGCGTGAGAGCTCCGTGAATCCACGCAGACCCCGCGGGTTCTCCTCCGGACTCCTCCGGACTCCTCACCACGCAGACGCCGCTCCGCTCCTCGGCGTGTTTTGACAGATCCTTCAGCTTCGAGTTCAAAACTCAGCGAACAGCCAATCAGATTAGAGGACTGACCCTTAACCGCGCCCCCCTTGGGAAGTGACGCAGGCACGTATGCGCTCGATTTTCGCTCCAGTAACGAGTCACACGGGCGGAGTGAAAAAAAATAAATAATACAATTAATTTTATTTTGTACT